CCAGCAAGCATGTGCTCATCCTTCCAATCACAGCACAGATACTGATTTTGCCACAACTATGAGTCAAGCATTGTGCAGCTTCCTGGGGTATGGCAGACACATTCGAGTTTACTCTCTAGATGAGAGTTTGATTGGGATACACTACCCAAGAAATAAACTGACTAGGGATGAGAAGGATGTTTCCTGGACAACAAATGTATTTGCAAATCTGAAAGATACAATGCAGTACTGCAAACCACCAGAGAGAAGTGTCCCAGAAGGAGAACAGCCATGGCATAGGTGCAGGGACCAGGAGAGCTCAGGCTATCCTAGAAGCAGACAGGAAGCCAATGTGGTTGAAGCAGAGAGAACCAGAAGACTTGGCCGAGGCAGGAGAGAGGCGGTCCCTCCAGGCAATGCCTGAAAGGCCCTCAACAACAGTCACGTGAATCTGATTGATAATCTTAGAAAGCTGGAATACGTAGGCTGCCATGTGATGACTATGGAGTATTATGGGGGCAAGGGTGGAGTAGAGGATACCTGGAAGTTAGGACACTGATTCCTAGAAGAGAAGGGGAGGAAAGGCAAGAGGTGAATGAGCATAAAAATCACTGGGATTCCAACAGAAACCTCATGAGAATTGCTTGGCCTCTGTGCTTTGCTTAATCTGGTTCTGCTCTGCTCTGTTGATCTGCAGCCCTGCTCCTCATGCACCAGCCTCCTGACTGTTTGATTGCAGGTGTGCACCCTCACACCCTGTTGGACTGGATTCTTCAGCCAAATTTAAAAAGCAAAACCCAAATGGAAAGGACCATGCTTGAATGAAAATATAGTATTCTCGGGGCTGAGGATGTAACTCAGCAGAGTGTTTGGCTATCCTAGACCAAGGCCTGGATCCCAGCATGGTAGTGCAAACCTTCAAGGCCAGCACCTGAAGTTGGAGGTGGTATCACAAGTTCAAGAGTCAGCACTGCTTATGTAGAGAGTTTGAGGCCAGCCTCAGCTACATGAGACCCTGTCCCAAAAATAAATAAATAAAGTTTTTTTTTAAAATAATTGTCTTGAAATAGAGCATGTACATTTAGCTACTGTCTTAATTTGATTTCTATTGCTGTGGTGAACACCATGGCCAAAAGACATTTGGGGATGAATTGGGTTTTTGTTGTTGTTGTTTATAACGGATATTTCTTGCAGCCATATTTGAAAAAAAAAAGTGAAAAAGAAATATATCTACAGAAAAATGGCTTAATAGAAGGCATGCATTCATTTCACCTAACACTACACTACTTAAATAGATTATCCAAGTTGTGTGTTATCCAAGACAAAAAGGAAAAATAAAAAAAAAGGAAGTACTATGAGCAGTCATTTAGGAGTGGGTAGAGGAACTATACCTGATGGGAACTGTTCTGTGAGTTACAGGAACCGAGCCCTACCCCCACGGTTGGTGAGCATCTGAGATGTTGGCAGTCAGGGTTGTAATATGTAACAAATGTTCAAATGCACACCAAATTCACAAGACTTTTAAGGAATTCTACTTGGTGATTTTTCTATCTATTCCATGTTGAGATGACAGGACTTAAATGCATTGAGTTAAGGAAAATGAATTCTTAAAATTAGTGTACTTATTTCTATTTTTAAAAGTTTATCTCTCTGTCTCTCTGTCTCTGTCTGTCTGTCTGTCTGTCTGTCTGTCTCTCTCTCTCTCTCTCTCTCTCTCTCTCTCTCTCTCTCTCTCTCTCTCTCTGTTGTTTGTATGCAGATGTGTGCCTCTGTGTATGGGAACCTGTACATGCACATGTAGTCCAGAAGAGGGAGTCTGGTGTCCTCTCCTATTACTCTGCCTATTCATTCCCTTGAGACATGGTATGGTCTCCTCTGAATCTGATACAGAAATCCATTATTAGAGCAAACATGTAGGAAACAGTCTCATTGTACTTAGACCCTTTTAATGAAGAGCTGCATGAATAAGTTCAGTGCAGGATAGCTGATCTGCCCTGACTGAGCTGTGGAGGTGCTTGGCTATGTCGGAGCTAATTCAAAGGAAGAAAACAAACATCTGAGTGTAAACGGACAGGTGGAGCATTTGTGAGCCAGCAGCAGGTAGATCTTTATGAGTTCATGGTCAGCCAGGGCTGCATAGTGAGAACATGTCTC